AGGTTCTGGCAAGGACAAAAAGATTGAGAGGAAGACATAAAACTATATTTATTTGCATATCACATACTCTTATATATAGAAAACTCTAAAGATTCCCCCCCAATAAAACCCTATTACAGCTAATAAACAAGTTCAGTAAATCTGCAGGATGTAAGATCAATATGTAAAAATCACTAGCAATAAGAAATCTGATAAGAAATTAGTTTAAAAATCCCATTTATGATAGCATCAAAAAGAATAAAATAATTAGGAGTAAGTTTAACAAAAGAAGTGCAAGACTTATTCACTGAAAACTACAAAACATTGTTGAAAGAAATTAAAGAAGACCTAAATAAATGGAAAGATATCTCACGTCCATGGATTGGAAAATTTAATATTGTCAAGATGGCAATACCACACACCACACCAAATTGCCCTATGGTTTGAAAGCGATCCCTATCAAAATTCTAACTGCCTTTTTTTACAGAAATAGACAAGCTGATCCTAAAATTGATATGAAAATTCAAGGGACCCAGAATAATTAAACAACTTGAAAAAGAACAAAGTCTGAGGACTCATGCTTCCCAGTTTCAAAACTTACTACAGATTTAAAATAATCAAGACTGTGGCACTGGCGTAAGGACAGACATATACATCAATAGAATAGGACTGAGAGTACAGAACTAGTCCTATACATCTGCGGTCAATTGATTTTCAACAAGAGTGCCAAGACCATTCAATGGGGAAAGAACAGTCTTAACAACACCTTAACAGCTATATGCAAAAAATTTATTTTAAATCCTTACTTCATGCCCTATATAAAAATTGACTCTCAATGGATCAAAAACCTAAATGTTAGGGCTAAAAGTATAAAACTCCTAAAATAAAACATAGATGTTTTCATCTCATGACCTAGGATTAGGCTAAAGTTTCCTAGGTATGACAACAAAAACTCAAGCAACTAAAGAATAAGTAAATAAATTGGACTTCATCAAAATTTAAAACTTGCGCATCCAAGTTTTAATCAAGAAAGTGAAAAAATCTACAGAAAAGGAGAAAATATTTACAACTCATATATCTGATGTGTCTAATATCCAAATATATAAAGAATTCTTAGAGTTCAACAATAAAAAGACAGCCCGACTAAAAAATGGGCAAAGGATTTGAATAGCTATTTCTCCAAAGAAGATATACAAGTGGCCAACAGACACATAAAAATATGCCAAACATTGGCCATTAGGGAAAGGAAAATCAAAACCACAATATGACAGCACTTCACACCCAGACAATAACGAGCGTTAGTAAGGATGCTGAAAAATTGGAACCTTCATACATTCCAATGGAATATACATCAGGAATAAATATAAATGTAAAATGGTTCAATTATAATATTTGGAAAACAACTTGGCAGTTCCTCAAAAAGTCTAATATAGAGTTACCATATGATCCAGCAATTCCAGTCCTAGGTATGTGCTCAACAAAGGAGAAAAAATATGTTCACACAAAAACTTGTGTAGGAATGTTCATAGCAGCATTATTCATAATAACCAAAAAGTGGAAACAATTCAAATGTCCGCCACAAATGAATGGATAAACAAAATATGGTACATCCATACAATGGGATATTATTTAGCCAAAAGAAAGAATGGGCTGGTCCAAGTACAATGGCGTTTACAACTAATTGATCACAACCAGTTTCAGATCTCTTTGTCCCTTCTCCACTCCCACTGCTTCACTTGACTGGCAAAAAACGACTAGCTAAAAAAAGGAAAAAAGAATGAGTACTGACTCATGCTACAACATGGATGAAACTCGGCAACATTCTGCTAAACGAAAGAAGCCAGGCACAAAAGACCACGTGATGTATGGTTCCATTCATACGAAATGTCCAGAATAGGCAAATGTGTAGACACAGAAAGCGGATTCGTGGCTGCCAGGGGCTGGGAGGAGGGAGGAGTGGAGACTGACTACAAATGGGTACAGGGTTTCTTTTAGAAATGATTAAAATGTTCTGGAATTAGTGGTGACGGTTGCACAATCTTGTGAATGTGCTAAAAGCCACTGAACTGTATACTCTAAAAAGATGAATTTTATAATATGTGAATTATTTCTCAAATCTAAGAAAAAACACACACACAAATAATGAAGAATGCAATTATATAGCTTCCTAGAGGCAGGCACCGAGGCCAGCGGCAGGTGGGGCTGCCACCCTGCGGTGCTGATGCAGCTGGCCTGCAGAGCGGGTGCTCCACCCGACTCCTCCCCAGGTCCGAGCACAACGCAGTCTCTTTGCATGCCTCTGATGAATGGCAAAGTCCAACCCCATAGGGAGTTTGACTTTGAACGATTTTACTTTCTTAGTTTAAAACTAAAACATTGTTACAGTAAAAATACGGTCATATTTTTATGACCCTCAAGCATGGGTACAGACACATGGCTGGTTTTACTTACATACATCCAGTTGTCTCATCTTAGCAAGATGACTGACTTCGTCTCACGGAAGTATTCAGTGAGGCATCCATTAAGCAAGTCACCTGAAGTGAACATTCAGCTTCAGCAGCTGAAAAGCTATGCCTAAAGTCATGTGCCTCCCTTTGCCCTCCCCCACCTGGAGAGGAAGACCTAAGGAAGGGTCAAGGATGGGTCGGCACAGAGTCACAGAGAGAAGCAGGACAGCCACTGCGTGCAGGAAGCCTGGGGACCCCTCCACAGTGGTACCTGGGCCATCCTGCCGGCGCACAGGTGCTGATTGTTAAATTTCCAGGAATTCTGCCAACTGTGACTGCCATGTTGCTAGCTTGAAACGAGCCGAGGTGGGGTATGGACACGGGACTGGACACCCGACACAGATCGGGCCCTCTGTGCCCCCCTGTGCCACTGGCCAGTCAGAGGAGGTGAGTCAGCTCTAGAAGCAGAAGGAATGGGGAGGAGAGGAGGGGCCCTGGGCGGGGCCCACCTGGCCCATCTGGGGCTCAGGGCTCAGCTATGTCACAGCTTTACAAGCCACGTCATTTGTCACTCACTTCACACTTTGCTTAAACCCTCACTCCATGGCAGCCCATGTGCTCTGCTGAGAGCTCTGGCTGTCCCCTGGCTGCCCCCTGGCTGACTCTGGGCATGCTCCTCACCCAGTGGCAGAGGGATAAGACTGGTGGATACGAGGGCTGGGATCTAGCAGCCTGCTCTACGCTGTACCAAGCTCAGGCTCAGCACACGGGATGGCATACGACAGCCTCAGTGCGTGACTGTCACATGGCGGGTGGCACCACACTCTATGGCAGGCCAAGCCATTGAGCTGTCACTGCTGTGGGCACCAACACCCAGGCTCCATTTCCAGGAGTGCCAGGAATGGCTGAGTCCCTACGTAGGTGGCCTTAATATCTTCCGTAGAACAAAGGTAATGCCAAATGTCCCTTCTGCTGTGATAGTCCAAGATCCTGGGGTTTGAAGTTCCAAAGTCCCTGGGTCGCAGGCTGGGGCTGAGCCCCTCTCCTCTCAGGGCATGCCCTGTCCGCCAGCAACCACGCCATGCTCTGGGCCACATCCGCTCTTCTGCCCAGCTCAGCCCTCTCTTGGGCTTCAGCCCCTCACATCCAGCTGCCTCCCAGGTGTCCCCTTAGACTTGCCACAGCTCTTCGAGCGCTTCACAGCCCAACCGAGGGTGCCGTCCACTTCCAGGCCCGCCACCATAATCAGGGCTTCCTCTGTCCTCCGGTACCCACCCACAGCCGCCAACCCCGAGTCTGCCTCCTCTTCTGCCCCCTCAGCAGCCCTTTTCTCTGCACAGCACCCACGGGTGCATCTGCAAAGTGCATGACCACACGCGCCACTCCAGGCCACTCTGGTGGCTCCCACTGCCCTCCCCCTGCTCTTGCCTGCTGGGGTCCTGGGGAGAACTAGCAGGGAGAGCCCCTGAAGGTGTGCGAGCAGATGGAGTGCTTCCCAAGGGCAGCCTGGCTCCAGGCAGTAAGGGGGTGGCAGGGATGTGGGGAGAGCCAGGCGCCAGGCGTGTGGAACTGCCTGGCATCATTCGAGGACAGTGGACATGGAACAGGCCTCCTGGCATGAAACGGTGAAAACGAAAGCTTCTGGGACAGGAAGAACCTCACCTGCTCCAAAGGCCGTGTCAGGTGTCCGTTCCTCGCCACCAGCCTGGCCCAGCTCCCTATGTAGAGCGCGGGGACGTGGCACGGGCAGGCGTGCAGCTGGGGACATTTCAAGGGAGGCTGCAGCTGCACACTCGCTCACAGATCGCTCACAGCCACATCTCACACACACGCACCAAGAAAGAAGAACTGCAGAAGGCCACCAAAATGTTCATAAAGGGTGGTGCTGAGCAGTGGAACTGTGGGTTTTCCTTCCTTGTTGTGTTTCTGGGATTTTCCTAATTCCCTAAGACGAGAAGTAAAACTCCAACAGTGTTCTCCAAAGAGTAATCGTCGTCCCTGGTGGTTTGGTGACTAGCACTTCTCAGACCCAGGCCCCGCAGCAGTGAGGGCGAGGGAGGGCGGCCCTGCTGCCCCACCCCTGCCTTCCCAACCAGCCCATCTCCAGGGAAGGCCCAGGGGACTCGGGTGAGCTGGCCCCTGCGGCAGAACACAGGTGCTGCCAGGTCTCTGATGCCCGCCCGCTTCCAGCTGAAGTAGCTCTGCCTTATTTCTGATCGTTCCTGCGCCTCTAGTAACCACCTCCAAGAACCCCACCCCACCTCAACACTGCTGCTGTGGCTGCTCCTGACTCTATTTCTTTCTCTCCTTTCTTTTCCGAGAAAACTGAGGGCGAACCAGGAAGCTGGCAGGGGAACCTGTGGGGGACAGGAGGCAGGGCCCCCCAGCACACTGCGGGTGACCACAGGCAGTCTGTGGGCCCACAGCTGCCACTCTCCTGGGGATGCATCCCCCCATCTCACTGTACAGAGGGACCCTGGCCAAGGTTTGGGGGTGTCTCCAAGTCGGGGGAGCTGGCCTCGGGAAGAGGATCGGGGAGTGGGAATTGAAGGGCATCTGAAGGGCAGGACTCACCAGGTGGCAGCTCACATGCTATTGTGGGCTCCTGGGGCTGCCCAGAGACCTCAGGCTACAGCCTTAACTGCAGTCAGAGGCAGCAGCACCCCTGCAGGCCTGGGACCACTCTGCGCCTCCATAGGACTTGGAGCCTGGGCACTGCCCTCCATTCCCCAAACCCCTTTCCCAGCAAAGCCCAGGGCCTGGGGCTCCCTTCTTCCCCAGGAGCCCTAAGTCACAGGGTGGGGAAGAGCAACTTCCTGCCCGGACTTGGCTGGAAGGGGCCATGGGTCTCAGAGAGCAGCCCCTCCCACTCAGGCTGAGTCATCCTTGCACCCAGCCATGTTCCAGAAAGGACTGCAGAGGCCAACACTGGCTGGACACTGGTGGACATGTGATCGGCCTCCTGAGTCACTCAGCCTCTGTGGCCTCTGGTTATCTCATCTGCGAAATGGCAACAAGAGGCCTGAGAGAGGAGGCGGGCCAGGCCCCAGGGAGTTCCCGGTCCCCAACCCGCCCCTACGCAGCTGGCACTTGTGCTCAGTTCTGGCCATGTCCCCACACACCCTTTACCGTTTTTTAACATTCCTACCACCCCAGCTTCGCAGAGGAGGAAACAGAACGCTCCAGACACCACGGCTCACCCAGGACTACACGGCGGGCTCGGGGAAGCCGCTGGAAGCCTGCGACACCGGGAAAGGTTTTAACCTCGCCCTTTCGTTGCTGTGTGACCTTGGGCACGTGCCCTGCCTGCTCGGCCCTGGTTTTCCCTTAGTGAGCGGATGGCTGTGGCATCGCGCGGGGTCAGGCGGTGGGGCGGGCAGGGCTCCACCTGCTGCTGCCGACGCCCGCCCCCGCCCGGGGAAGAGACGCAGCGGGCTGGGGGGGCCCTGCCCGACGGGCGCTTCGGCCCAGCGCGCCGCGAGGCTCCGACGCCCCAGGTCGAGCGGCCCGGGGAGCCGGGGTCGGGCGGAGTCGCGGGGCTGAGCAGGGGGCGCCGCCACCTGGGCGGGGCGCGGGTGGGGTCGTTACCTTCCCGTCATGGTGGCTGCGCGCGGTGGGCCCGGGGCCGCCAGGGCACTGCCTCTGCCGCCGCCGCCGTCCGGGCGCAGCGCAGGGAGACGCCTAAAAAAGGCCGGGAGCGGCTCCGCCCGCCCTCCCGCCCGCGCGGTGGGGGTGCTGGGGGCGGTGGGGGGTGGCAGGGCGGGCGCCCGCGCGGGGGGGCGAGGGGGACGGCGGTGGCCACCCAACCACCCGCAGCCCAGCTCCAGGGACACCCGAGCCCGGCGTCGGTCACGTCCTCCCCACCCGGGCGCTGCTCACCACCTCCCGGATTCCGGGCATAGTTTTCCTTTTAAAGGGAGTGAGGTTACAATAAACGCGAGCAAGCACCCCCTCCACGCCCCCGGGACGCCCCGCCCGGCGCCCCCACCCCCGCGGTCCCTGGGCCCACCCGGGACCGGGACACTTGCGCGGGGGCGTGGGGGCGATGCCGAGACCACCTCCCCGCCCGGCTCCCAAGCCGGAGTTGCCACCAGCCGGGCCAGGACGGCCTGTCGTTATTCCTGGGCGCCCGCACCAAGGACCGCAGTCCGCGTGGTCCCGCCCCCAGGGAGGCCAAGGACCGGGTTCACGCTCGGATGCCGGCCCATGCCCTCCCCGGGAAGTACGCGTTTCATCTAAGTGTGCGACCCGTCCCCTGACTAAGCAAACGGTACCTTCAAAATGACAAAGCCCAATGCCCACGTGGCGGAGCAGAACCAGGGGCTTTCTATATGAAGCGCTATAGACAAGCCACAATAAGAGGCGTTAAAATAACCTGGTGATAGAAAACCATTTAGGGGAGCTATGCTGAGAAGATTAAACAAACAGAACAAAACGTCCTCACCAGGCTAAGGGCAGATACCCCCAGCTGCGCCCTGGAGCGTGTGAACAGCTATTATTAATCTCCAGTCTCGGCAACCGCCAAAGACTATCTAGAAATGACCGTTGGAAGTAGAACCCCACAAATAAACCAACAGTGGAATTCAGAAAGGTGAGTTGATAGGAACGTGCAGTTCTGTCTGCTGAAATAAGCTTGGAAAAGACACCTGTTCAAAGTAGCCGATGTCTTGAAATGAGTGTGGTTTGCAGTTATTTCTTTTTGCAATTGTGTCTTAGCTGATTCTGTTTGACTGTAATGTGGCGGTTGATTAAGCATAAGTGTGGATGGTTTCTTGGTTCATTTGCCCTAGCGGGAGAAAAGCTTCCCGCGATCTCTGACGCAGAGGCGCAGGCACGCTGGGGCCTGGCTTCGGAAATCCACTGCCAGATGGTTAGTTGAGCCCTGGGGTCTTGTGGAACTGAAGAGGATGAAAAGAACAGGGCAAGACACCACTGGTCCCCACTATCTCCTTCCGGGGACCCCATTCCTGCCTGAAATCCTCCCTTCCTATGATTGCTGGGCACACACAGATCTGCCTGTGGCCAAACCAGGACCCTCCACTGCTCACCCACCCACCCAGCCAGCCTCCTCCCCGGCCGGGGCAAACTTGTGAGAGCTGGTGGGGGTTGTGGGCACTGCTCAGAGAGATACAGAGGCTGCAACGGCTGGGCAGTGGGCCATTCATACATTCCTGTGCTCGTGCATTCAAGAGTATTTATGCTATGCAGGGACTGGAGGTGAAGCGCCGAGCAAGACGTGGACCGGGCTCTTGTGGAGTTCAGCAGGGGGTAAGGGATGGACGATAAACAAACAAATAGATACCCAAACTTGATTTTAGACAGGGATCAGTGCCGCAGAGAAAAGGACAACAGGGGAAGGGGCTGCTGTAGAGCGGAAAGGCAAGGAAGGCTTCTGAGCAGGTGACATTTGAGCTAAAACCTGGGTGAGGAAAAGAGCCAGCCCTGCAACCACCTGCAGGACAATCATCCGGCAGAAGGAGCGGCAAGTGCAGCAGCCCTGAGTTGGGAATGACCTTGGGGTACTCAAGGTCGGAAAGAAGGCCAGCGCATCTGGAAAATGGGGGGGGATAAGGGAGAGGGACGTCCAGGTGGCAGGGCGCCAGGGCCACCTAGGAGTTTGGATTCCACCCTTGGAAGGGTGGAGGATCTGAGCAAGGGCAGACAGAACACTCTGGCAGCAAGAGTGAAGCCCAAAACATAACTCTGAATTAAAAAGCAGCACCTGCTCCGTCTATAGTAAGTTCTAGAAAAGAATAGGTGAGATTAGTCAATGGTGGAAAAATTCAGAATGGGGACTGCCTCGGGGTGGGGTGGGGGACAGGGATTGACTGGGAAGAGGCTGGTGGGAGCTTCCTGGGGCAATGGTCAACGTCTTCATGGGGTTTAGGTCACGTAAGTGTTTATGTGTTTGTCAAAACTCACGGAATATACGGTTAAGATTTGTGCATTTCATTGTATGTAAATTTTACCTCAAAAGAAAAAAAACTGTAAACAATATTGATCTCTGGTTAATGGTGTGCATGCCGAAGTGTTTAGGTGGAAAAGTGCTGATGTCTGTAACTTACTTCGAAATACATTTTTGAAATCAAGATGAACTGGGCACAGTGGCACGCCCCTGTCACTCCGGAGGCTGAGGCAGGAGGATCGCTTAAGCCTAGGAGTTTGAGGCTGCAGTGAGCCATAATGACGCCACTGCACTCCAGCCTGGGTGACAGAGCAAGGTTCTGTCTCAAAGCAAAACAAAACAAAGCAAAACCTCAAGATGGGTGAGTAAAGGGATGGGCAGATGAAGAGAGACGTGGTAAAGTGAGTCTGCTACGATATTAATGGGAGTGTCTCAGTCGTCGGTATCTTGAGTATTCCACTTTGATGAGTGCTTGAAATTTTTCATATCGAAACGTCATTGGGAAGGTTTCCCTGGCTGCTTGCTGTGTGTGGCTGCTGTGAGTGGATGCAGGGACAGTCTGATTAGAGGCACCGTGAGCATCCAGGAGGGCCTGGAGGGACAGTAGGGATGGCAAGAAGGGTCAGATACAGGGTCTGTTTTGCAACCAACAGGATTTGCTGAGGATTTGGATGTGGGGGCGAGGCTGGCACCGGTGTGGCCATTGTGTGGCAGGTGTGTGTGTGGCAGGTGTGAGTGTGGCGGGCGGGGGTGTGGCGGGCGGGGGGGCCAAGATGACTTGCAGGTGCCCTTGCTTTCCTGGATGTCGGCCGCAGCGGGCAGCCCGGGCAGGTTGTCAAGGGGTGACGTTGCATTTGGGGCCTTGCAGCAGAGGGCTGTGGGCATCCAGGGGAGATGGCGGCGGCCTCTGTGAACCTGGCACTCAGAGGAGAGCCACTCTCTGGCATAGTTGTGGAAGGTTTGGTGCAGAGAGAATTTCAACCCTGGGACTCAATGATGCCCCTAAAGGTGTCTGTGCCCTCCAAGAGCGAGAGGTCGGGGGAGCACGGGAGACTGAGCAGGGCAGTGGGCAGACAGGAGCAGGAGCGGGGAGACGCCACAGAAGCCAGGAGGGACAGAGCTCCGGGGAGGAGGAGCAACTGCCCTGTGTGCAGGCTGAGCTGAGGACGGGGAGGGTCTGGGTTCAGCTCAAGAGCAAGCCCCTGTGAGTGAGGGGCCGCATCCACCTGGAGAGGGGCAGGTGGGATCCCTGCATTGCCCCACCCTCAGGAGCACCCCTCACCTCAAAGGGGCCAATGGAGGTGACCGAGAATGTTGTAGCTGCTCTGAAGGGAGGCAGAGAATGGGCAGCAGCTGGAGGTGGAGAGGGCAGGCAGGGAAGAGGACACTCAGTGTGGCGATTCAAAACGGGACAGGCGAGACTCTGAGATGTCTGAGGCTGAGGCTGGGCCCCAGAGAGCTGTTCTAGAAGGTGATGGAGGTGCAGGGTCTCTGGGGCTCAGGGCGGGTGAGCACCCCTCCACAGGCAATGCCTGCCCCAGTTTCCCCACACCGCCCCTGTCTCCCCTACTCCAGCCAACAGCTGCCTGGGCTAGCCCAGGGCCTGGGCCAAGAGATGGCTGGGCTTGCCTCCGACGGTGTGGCCCTTCAGTGGCATGAAGATGGGAGAGCCCGGAGGCCTCGGAGTGCCTCCAGTATCCCCTCCGGTATCCAGAGCCAAAGCCCCGCCCCACGCGATGGCAGGGAAAGGAGAAGGCCTCACAGCCCTGAGCAGGTCTCCGGTTTCCCACCACAG